GATGACATTACAAACCCTTGTCTGTACTGGCAGCAGCAGCAAGAAGCAAGCTCAAACTTGGCATTTGTCCGTGTCGTTGTTTGCGCTTGGCGAACTTGACCGCAGCCGAAATTCACTTCTGTGTCTCTTCCTGTGAGCTCCGTGTCGCCAGCCCTGCCCATGCTAGAGCCTTCGTCCCAGCCCGTGGCTCTCAAGTCTGTCCTGCGTCAGCAACGTGGGCCAGAACGACGACCGCAAGCAACCTGAGCGATCGACATGCGCCTGTTCACAATGGCTGTGGCATCACGCATGCCCCAAACTGCGTCACTGGAGAACAGCCGTGCAAGGGAATCAAAGGCACGGTGAATAAACTTCCACTTCCACCGACCACGGCATGGCCAGCGAGTACAACTGACGACCTTCCTCAAGCAACTATGGCCAAGCTTACGGCACACGTGAGCGCCAGGTGCAAAGCGCTTGGATTCAGTCGTCCCGTACACATAGGGCAGCACATGCCGGTACCTTTTGAAACGCAAGACAGTCTTCAACCTGTTACTTAGCAACACGTCAAGGAAAGCATTGGTTTCGCATAAAGACAGGTGGCAAGGAAACCAAGTTGGGGCAAGCAGTGCGAAAGTCCAAACACGCTGCCGGTACAACACCACAGGCAAAAGCCACGTGTACCTTTTTCGCTTGGTCATCTGGTACATTCTGGTACAAGGGCTTCACCATGACTGCGTTGCATGTCCTTGGTGTAGGCACAGAAAGCACAAACAGTAACATCAAGTCTCTGACGAAACTCTTTCTAGGCCGCGCTTCTCCACAAGCCAGCCTCAGCATGTACCATGGCACATTTGCCAGCACCGACTGTGAGGCCAAGCTGTGAGCAACAATCACACAACTAAGCAGCAACACGCTTCACATTTCTTCCGGGGAGGTACGTTGATGAATGTCCCAAACCTTTTCATCGCGACGCACGCCCGCAGCATCATTCAAAGTCTAAGGTTGGCACTGAAAGTCAGTGGAACGCATCGCTTTGCAAGCTTTAGGAGCATTCCACTGATCTCTGAATTTGCAAGGGCCCGCCAAGACAAAGCGGACCCGGGTCAAGGCCCAAGTCCACTCATGATGGTTCCAGCCCACAACAGCAGTGCGGAGGCAGGAGCGAAGGGCATTCTGACAACGCTCACGGGACAACAAGCTGGCACAGTCCAGCAAGAACCTTGCACTTAGGCAGACCTTTGGCCACCAAAGCCGTGTTGACCCGTCTGGTGGCTAAAGCTTTTCTGCCTTTCCCAACCACAAGGCGCACGCACCTCGACAAAGCAGCAGGAGGGCAACCACAGCCCCAATTGTACTGGCAACCCAAGAGTTCCCAATCACCCAATCAACGACAGCATGTTGTGTGCCGCACCAAGTAGCAACCAACAAGGAATTGCAGGGAGCGTAAATCTCAACAGGGCCACCAACACACCACTTAACAAAAACGCTTACGAACCCAAGTGTCGTTCAAACTACTAAAGTCACCGGGCGCGGCAGAGCTAGGAGCATCTTCCCGGTCCTTAACAGTGACACCAGTGCTCTTCGGATCATGCACAACACGAGAGTCGAAAGGACCAACCATGCCAACCATGTCATCACAATTTCTCACATGCATTGGGGGAAATTGGGGGTCGTCGGCGGACGCACTACCATGGCACGTCACAGTGGGGACATTGGCCACAGGCCTGCGAGCTTTGATTTCTTACTGTTCCATAGCACTCACCCTTTGAACAGAGTCAGCACGACAGACGAAGAAAAGACTTGATTGCAAGCCGACATGACGCATCACTTTGTACCTCAACCTTTTGCTTTCGCATGCACATGGTCGCAACAACGCCAACGTAGTAGCCGGAGGTACTGTCCCACGCGTACAGAGCAGCGCAGGAGTCACGTCTCACGCCAAACAAGCTCAAGCAGTCAAGATTTGGGAGCACGGCCAACATTTGAAGCACAAGCAAGCTGTCCATCGCGCTTCAGGCGACCAAGATTTTTGGCAGATCCTCATGCCACACCGCAAAGTTCCTGTGCAAGCAAAAGTGCAGCTTCACGAGCCCAGCGAACTTTCCTGCTGTGTGACAACCACCACAACGGGGAACGGCCAGTGCACGCAGCCCAAACGGTTTTAACAAACGAAGAGATCCGTTTCCATTTCAGGTCCGCAGCCAGCAATTGCACCAGCACCCCCAACAACACCAACGACAACTCCCCATCGACACCCCGTGCATACCCACCTGTAACACCTACACACCCCCTGCACCGATACATCCCTCATGCTATACACCTCCTGTCCACTTCCCGCCATACACTGCCCGTACCCCCCACGCCCCCTGTGCACCCTTCCCTCCACGCCCGCCACACACCTATCCCCCACACCATCTCTCATCTCCGACACCCCCCCCATCAGCCCAAACATCCACTGCACCCCTTTGCCTTCCCGACTACCCACCCCTACCCCTCTGCGTGCACCCCCTTTCCGCCCAATACTCCCTAGACGACTTCCCCCCCCCGCCCCCCCACACCCCCAACTAAACGGTCAGAATGCGCCTTCTAAACCGTTGACCGCTGACTTTGGGTCCATTTTAGTTGTATCATGATTATCATGTTGTATCCAATTCGCCACCACCAGACAATGTCGGGGAAGGAGGGGTGAGAGGTAGGGTAGATACCGAACCTCAACACCGAAGCCTCGGCGGATTTGTACATGTGAGAGGTTCCAGAAGGAGGCATGGCACTGCTGCCCGCTGGTCGCCCTCTCAGAGTCAAAGGATCAAGCAAAACTCTAGAAATCGACCTCGCGCAGTGCTCTTTCATCTTATCGATCGGTCGGAACCCCGCTGTGGGCCCCCAACCTGATCTACTCCTGGCATAGATTCGAGAATCGAAGTCGGTCATCGCAGAGGTTGGCTGTGCAACAGCGTTTCCAAAGAAGAGGCAGGCAGAAGCAAGTTGTGACTGCTCAACCTTTGTTTGCAGCCTGTGGCCAACAATTGCAAGCTCTTTCGTGTGGCAGAGTCCGACCGCAAAGAAACACAGTGCGACTCGCGACTTTAACCAGCCAACCAATTGCCCAAGAAGACTTCCAGCCTGAGCAGCATAGCAAAGATATCACCGGCAGGAAGATGCAGACGATTCTGGGCACTGTGTGCCGGTGCCTGTGACTTTTTGCATGTGTGCAGCAGAGCTGAATGTGCAGTCTGGGGTCGGGGATTGATGATTTACTCGTTGAGATTCCTACAAATCCAGCTCCAACAATGACAGTGAGTCCTTCGTGCCTTGCTGTTTGCTGCATTGGTGCCCCGCCGTCTGCTGCACCTGCTTTGACATCATTCTCTGTTTGAGTCGCGCCTTGCTGCATCGGCATCCAGTTTGGGCAGGTGCTGCGACGAATGCCACGATACCGCTAGAGGATTGGCTTGGCTTCAACAAGTGCAAAGAGAATGCGAAGAGATGTACCGGGGAACGAGGAGAGGAGATGAAGAAATGCGAAGAGAGAGTGAGAGACCAAGTTGGTAGCACAGAGAGTAGGTGTGCCCGAGCGAGGGCACACCACGGGGGCCACCTGCTCAAATCGGTGCCCGTGAAAGGGCGGCGCAACGTGCTTTCATACAGTCGAGCCCGTCCCTCAAACTGGTGGACGTGGTTGTGCTGATCCTAGCTAGTTCCTAGCTCGAACCCCAAGCAAAGCAAAGCAAAGAGGCAGAGAGAGAGAGACTTACGGGCTGGGGGCTTTGCCCCAAACCCCAAGCAAGCAAGCAAGCAAGCAAGCAAGCAAGCAAGCAAGCAAGAGACTTGGTCCCTTTGCGCCCCGAGCGTGGTACAGAAAAAAGAGAGACTTGGTCCCCCTGCAAGCAATTCAGCAGAGAGACTTGGTTTGCGATTCTTGCTCAAGTAGAGCTGTTGAAATGACGGCGCCAAACCATCGCGCAGTCAATTCAGAAGCGGCGTCAGGGGGACGAGCACAGGATGTATTCAACGATGGGATCCTCGTCTAGAACGCGACATGCAGTGGCGGATCGAGTCACTCTTTTTCACATCCTGGCGGCACTTCATCCCTCCGTGATTTCAAGCTCCCCGCCCTCGACTCTGATTTCCCTCAAGTTGCCAACTCGGTTGCTGTCAGAGGGGGAAGGCGAGGCGGTACACATGGGGTTCGATGCGACTGGCAGTGCAAAGGTCGTCAGTCGTTTGGAGATAGAGCGTTGCTACATCTAAGGGTTAATGGTGATTGGTAAGAGTAAGCACAGCTGGAATGAGGATTGCTGTTCAAGGGTGTAGGAGAAGTGCATTATTCCAGCTGCAACAAGAGCGGCTGTCGTAGTACTGGCAAGCATTTGATGCAAATATGAAGAATTCGCTCCCATGGATAGTTTGGTGGTTTGATCTTGTGCCTGGCGGGCATACTTCGAACTCCCTAAGCCCTTCTTCCAAGAGTTTTCTGTGCATTGGGCTGGGCCTGCCGTTGAGTTACTCCGAGTGCACTGGATGGCTGGCTGCATGGCATTCGTAACAGGTAATCCCAGTCCTTTGACACGACGGTTCAGGTTAGCTTCCGGCCACTATACAGAAATTACAGTCACAGGTACAGGTTTGTTTATCGCAGTCGTTCTAGCGCCAGATACACTGTCCTGTGCTCGCTCGGCACCTCGGCGTGGCTCTAGCAATGGTTCAATGTTGACCCGCTAATTCCCTGCCCCGAGAAGATTGAGGGGCTCGGTTGAAGTGAGACTCGAAAGAAGGAAGGAGGGAGAACGGTCCTAGAGGGCATATAGGCGGACTCGGCGCTGCGCGACGATGGAGCTCTTGGCTTCTTAGGTTGCTGGTTCTCGTTCGCGGTAAAGGAGAGAGCAGCGAGACTTGTGATTTGGCTGCCGGAGGCTTACGCTGATCTAATCGGGGATTATAAAGGGATGCTCCGCTTCAAGCTTAGGTCGTGAACACTGGTGACGGCTTGCAGCCAGCGCCTGAGTTCAGGGCAGGTCTCACAGAGGGCTCATGATGTGTGACAGGTATCACCCAGTGGTGGCTAGCGGGCAAGCTCCACATCCCAGCATGCCATTGAGGGATTCTTTGGTGCGGGTCTCGGCGATGCCATAAATGTCATCTCGGATCATCGTGGCCTTGCTACCACAGGTGCTTTCGGGTTGCAGTCGTGCAGGTTTGTGTTCAAGTGCATTTTGGTCCGCCCATCTTGCAGTGGATGCGAGCTGTAGACACTAGCGGCCCCTCATGTTTGGCAACGGCAGGTACCTCATCTACCGCCAGCTGCTCTTCCCCTGCGACTCCAACGGGCGCGGCCCCAAAAAATAGATGCAAACATGCAACATCTGCATTGCGACAAGTCATCCACTTAGTGCCAGGCCGCGATTCCTATATGGAGTTGTTCTTCCGTTCGCAAACAAAAAGCCCTTGAGAGTCAACAACAGCTCCAAGCTGCATTCTCAGAGCCTCAGAAGTCTGACAGGTTTCGAATTGTCGCAAGCTGAGCCCGCTGCAAGGTCTGAAAAATGGACAAGGCAAGGCTTGAATTCAGTAGCTTCGTCCTAGCCAGGCGGCAGGCAAAAGGTCTAGAGGTCTCTCACAGTGCTCACAGGCCGTTGCCGATTCCAGCAGGAGGTGCTCGGGCCTCAACACAGAGCTCAGGTGGTTGGTGTATAGATGTGGCGAAATCTCCATCATGAGGATAAGTCCTTCGCGCTTTGCGTCGAGCGGGCTCTGCTGCTTTGTTTTGCCGCCGCCGGCCTCTCGAAGGACGAGGCAACGCTGCGGCACGAGACGTGTCGTCGTCGCCACACATGCCGCACTTTAGTGGGATAAGTGGCCGTGGCCGCGGCTTTCAGAGGCGTCATGGTGGGCCATGGTGAGATCGCGTGTCGGTCTGCTGGAGTTGGGAACTTATGGGATGTGTTGTCTCACTTCCCTTGAGAAAAGTGCTTCTGGGTTTGTTTTACGTAGGACTATCGAAGAGGCGTTGCCAACTGCTACGCGCTCAGCTGGGCAGAAGCGGAATGGAGGCACCGACTCGAATTCCAGCTCGCTCAGGAAGCGTCCAAAACCACACCTGGAGAACTAGCTCTCGTCCATGTGGCTGCGTCGGTGCGGATGCCTTGACATTGAGTGAATGTGTTGCCACTATGTCTTAGAACTCAGAACAGCACGGGGAATGATGAAAAGACGAAGACCACCTGTAGGTCGCAAGCTTGGAGTGTGACCAGCTCCGATGCCTGGGATCGCGCTTGACATGCAAAATGCACGAAAACTCACGACGGCGCGTGCGCCTTGGCCTGAATGCACTTTCAGCAAGTCCATGGAACATGCAAGTATCGGACAAGCGGGCCAAGCAGTAACCGACAATTTCGGAAAGCTTGCAAGCCGTGCACGTGGGTTTCTTGAACATCGGCGGCATCGAAGGATGACGCTTCTAAAATCAGTGTCCTGAGAGCCTTCTGACACACGGAGAAGCATGTTGCGAGGGCTGCAGCAGGCTTTTATATCCACTGAAGAATGCTGAAGACACAAGAAGACACAATAGCTCAACGAATGCACTCAGCGGCCAGATGCACCGTGAAGAAGTCATTGCTTCCCCCGAGCCCTCGGAATGCTTTCAAGACTTCGGCCTCAATGTGCATAGATGATGCCAATTGCGCAAACCGGCGCTAACCTCAGAGCGGGTCAACCCTCACTAGCAACTGGGCAAAGGTGTTTAGAATCACGATACATAGCATTTGGTTGTCAGCGGCTGGAGCTCGGGGCGGGGCCCTGGGAGGCTCTCTGCCGCGCCGCAGCCGAACATGCTCAACACTTCAAAAGCAGCAGGTGCAAGCGCCATGTGGGATGCACGAGATTTGGACTCCTGGAGCGTGGGTGGCAGGTATCCGGAGCCTGGTGCATACGAGGAGGACCGTTCTGGAGATATTGTTGCTCTCATGCCTACAAGCTCTCCCCACTGACTGGCATACTAACATCTGTGAGTGGAGTTTCGGCATCTGCCGCCCGTCGCAATCAGCTTGAAGTTCTACGGGGCTGCGGTAGCATTAGGTCACCAGCTGTTCGACATAGAATGCAGGTGCGGCGGCTTGCTGACAGGCCACATGTGCTGAGTTGCAATGGGTAGGACTACGGTAGAACCCTGGACTCTAGACATCCTGGCATCCAGGGTTTTGCAGAAAGTCGCCCTTCTGGAAGAGTCTGGGGGAGAGCTGCAGTCTGTCTTGGACTTGGCATCCTGCACGTATGACTTCTCACCGCAACAAATGGAACAAATTTTCTGTCTACGTCCAGGCGCAACCACCCCCCGCAGCTTTGCCACTTCTACAAGAATCAGCCACCCGTTTCTGCCTTAAAGTACCTGTCCCTGCATAGACTTGGACATGAAGTTGAAAGCGGGTCGAGGCTTTGAGCACTTTGAGCGCCTGGTGAAGGAGGACGTAGAGAAGCTGAAGGGGGAAGTGGATCCTCCTCGGATTCTTATCCCGGCAGCGATCTGAGTTTGTGGAAGGGTTCCGCGACCTTTGCTTCCACGCCTTGGATCTTGAGGTGCTGACATCTCGCTTGCAAGAGGCTCAGCATCCTAGACTCCTGAGTTGTGAATGACCGGAAAATCAGCCGATATCAGGAGATCATTGAGGCTTTGTTGCTCCTTCAGGCCGGTTTCGATCCGAACGCCGCTGGAAGCGGCATCATGCTGCCGCCTGACAGTCTTGGCCTCAAGGTGGCCACGACCTGGCTGAAGCCTAGCGGCCTAACATCTGAAACTCGTGCGGACTCGGAAATGTCCAGGCTCAGTTGCTCACTTTGCTCATCAACCAGCAGGCCACCTTTGCTGATGGGACAGTAGCAGTCACCAACATTTCTGCGAAAAGGACCAGATAGCCCATGCTCCTGCGTCCTGCTTCGCGGTCGTTGCCCACCTGCTGACGTTCGCCTCTGAATCAACCACTTGTTGTTGCGTGAGCTTTTTGGCAGCACACGTGTGAGGCGACTGCTTCCAATGCCGTTGCCTATAGATCACCCTCGCAAGGACATCATGATATCATGTGCCACCAAGGGATTGGAAGGTGAAGTTGCAAACGAACACTGCCAGGCCGAACTGTGTTTCTGGAGCCAAGATATGGTCTATGAGACCAAGGTCCCTGCCTCAACAAGACTGCAACGTGGCTCGCTATGATCAAGTTGAGTTTCGTAGTCTTTAGCCCGGCTTTGGCTGACCACAGCGAGCAGTTCACACCTTGGCGCCAATCTCCCAATGTCATTCGCAAGGAAGTTCCGCTCCGTGCTTCAGATGCTCTAAGCTCAAAAAAGCTTGCAGATATTTCCGTTCTGAGCCGATCCAGTCTCCCATTTTCGAGCGAAGCCACTCGTAGGTAAGTCAACTTCGTATCATGCCTCTCGGTGGGGAGGGGGGTTGGGGTGAGGGTAGGGACGAAAGCATGGGATAGCATTGGAGGTCTAACCCACTCCTACACTTCTGGCAATGTGCTCGGAACTGCTTCTGGCAACTGCCTGACGAGTCGTACAGCTACACTTGTGGCTGTGTGATTGTATCTGTAACAAACGGCAGCAGCTGCATAAGACAGGTCGCATGCAAGGCCCCTTTGGCTTCTTGGCGTGCCTGTAAGTTTCACTTTTCCAGGCACCCCTGGGCGGGCATCCTTCCTGTCCTGTTCGTTTCTTAACCGGGAGCTCCAGCCCGTGGAACGCTGAGTCCAGAGCCAAGCGTGTTGGCCAGTGGGCCACCGCCAACAGGTCTAGGGTAACTGAAGCTAGTCAATCACCCAGGATTTTTCTGCGACTATTAGATTGCTAGGCTCTTCGCACCAAAAGCGACATGTAGCGCCCTACTACATATTCTATGTGGTGCTCGTGGCCGGGAAACTTCAAGATCGGGAGCGTAGTCCCGCGCGTTTTCTGAGTTTACAGATTCTCCGAGGTTTGAGTTCGCCTGACAAAAGAACGCAGCCCGTACCTTGCTTTTTAAAGGCTTGGACATGCTTGGTGAGAGACTACCCAAAAATGTTGAGTGTGAGCGTCGAAACGTTGAGCCTTGCTTTCTTAGCTAGAAATATCTTGAAGGCATATGGCGCTGTTGACGATTATTGTGTTCTCCGGCTGACGCTTGTAGAAGCCGCTCGCGGTGACTACATGTATCTGCGGTTGTTACTTGGTGACTGGTGATGTTCGGGAACCGTAATTGAAAGGGTCCGGCAAAAAGCGTTCGAAGGCAGACTTGATGCGGCACTTGTACCTCATTGCACAGCGCTCAGCGAGAATTGACAGCTTGAGCTGCTACTCTGTTTGCTCCTCGACTGCAGCGCACTCAAACCTCGTAGTCGAGAAGCTTGATGCTTTGCTGTTGATGGATCCATCAAAATGGCAACTTCAAGCGAGAGGACCTCGTTTGCACCGCAGTCTATCTGCTGTGTCTAGTATCTGCTGTTGCTCAGTCTAGCAGAGAACAGCGCCACCTCCCTGCACACGACTTGATCGAATTTGCAAGGATCAACAGCATGTTCGCCAACTCAACGACTTGGCGATCTAAAGAGGAGGAGCAGAAAGGCCGTGCAGCTATCCATGCAAGCCAAGTGAATCGCGCCTTGGCGAGTCAAGAAAGTCGGCGTGCCACAAGCACCAGAGGACCTCCTCCTCCTCCTACTCCTACTCCTACTACTACTACTGCTGCTGCTGCTACTACTACTACTGCTACTACTGCTGCTGCTGCTGCTGCTACTACTACTACTGCTGCTACTACGACGACGACGACTACTACTACTACTACTACCAACTACTACTGCTACTGTTACTGCTATTACGACGACGACGACTACGACGACTACTACTACAACTCCTCCTACTCCGACTCCGACTCCTACTCCTACTCCTCCTCCTACTACTACTACCACCACTACGACGACGACGATTAATACAAATGACTAATTACTAGTTGCTACCACCACGACGACGACGACTACTACTACTACTACTTCTTCTTCTTCTACCGCTACTGTTACTACCACTACTGCTAGTATTGGTACTGTACCGGTACCAATACCCGTGACGCTGCCGAGATCCAGCGACTCAGGGCCGCGGTGCGGGAAGCACAGGTGCGTGCCGAGTCGGGCAATGGCGATGGTGAGGACTTGCTCCTCATCGGAGCTTACTACTGGGTGCGAGCAACGTTTGAAGGGTCTGCCGATGCGGAGCCCGACAACCAACGAGGCGAAAGCTTCGGGACCTGCCCCCTTGGAGCTAGCTCCCGAGCCGCCAGCCAGCTGACGTGCCTATGCGCGCGGGGAAGCCAGCGCCTACCTCGGGTGCTCTTGCTGCAGCAGCCTGCGGTCGGCCATCCCTCGAGCTGCCTTGAGGCCCGGAATTTGTGACTCACGTGGAGTCTCCAAAGGGACTGGAAAAGTTGGAACGCAGTTGCGAGCCGCTTCAGTGGCACCCCTCGCGGTCATTCCAAAGGCCACAGCCGTGCAAACTGCATCGGCTCCCCCGCGGTATCCCGCGGTCTAGGCCCTTGACTCACAAGCAGGTACAGATGATTTTTTGATTTGATACCCTTATTACTACCTACTACTTGCTACAATTGCTACCTACTACCTACTACCTGCTACCTGCTACCTACTACCTACTACCTACTACCTACTACCTACTACCTACTACCTACTACCTACTACCTACTACCTACTACTACTACTACTGCTACTACTGCTGCTACAACTACTACCACTCCTGCTACTACTCCT